TTAAGTGACTTGCCCAATGTCCAACAGTTAGTAAAGTGTCTGAGACCAGATTTGAACTTAGTCTTGGTGCCTCCAGGTCTAGCACTTTATATCCACTGCACCACCTAGGTGCCTTATTACATACACATACATACACACACACACACAAATATATTTGTATATGTATGTGTATGTATATATATGTGTCTATGTATGTATATATATTTATTTGCAAAATAAATGCTACTGTTATCATCATCATTGTTATTATCATTACACAGGATCCTTGATCTTAGACTTTACAGTCTGACTAGAAAAACAAGTTTAATATACAGGAAACCACAGAAAACAACACAAGATGTATGACCTGGTTTTGAATCCAGACTTTGCAGACCGTTAGCACCGATGGAAGTCAAAAGCAAAGGACATCTCAGGTTGCTGAAGTACTCAGGGGTGCCACTGGGGAAGCCGAACTTGCAATGGACCAAGACAGGATCTAAATAAAGAGTTCTATTCCTCTCTGTCTGTCTCTGTCTTTCCTGTCTCTTCCTCTACGCCTCTCTGTTTTTCTCTTTGTCTCTATCTTTCTAGCTCTTCTCTCTGTTTATGTCTCTTTATTTCTCCTTTTTTCTCTTTTCTTTCTGCCTCTCTGTTTTTTGTCTGTCTGTCTCTCTCCCGTTACTTGCCTCTGTCTCTTTGTCTCTCTCTGTCTTGTCTCTCTCTCCCTCTGTCTCTTTCTGGTACTCTCTTTTTCTGTATTATTTTCTCTTTATCTATATTGCCAGCATTCTATATTTATCTATAGATCATGATTTCTATCTGTGTATTTCTATCTTTCTGTCTCTAAGGATCTCTATATAATGTTCTGTTCCTATATAATTCTACCTTCATTTCTATTTCTATCACTAGACAATTCTTTATCTCTAAAACTATGTCAACAACATATTTCTCACTATTGCATATCTATCATGCAATACATAATTCTTTAAAAAAAATAAATAAATCAGGGGCAGCTAAGTGGTGCAGTGAATAGAGAACCAATCCTGGAATCAGAAAGACCTGAGTTCAAATCTGGCCTCGGACACTCAATACTTACTAGCTGTGTGACCCTGCACCAGTCACTTAACCCTGATTGCCTCGCCAAAAATAAATAAATAAATAATGAAATAGTGTAAAAAGAGTAAAAAATCTATTTTTATCTCCCTGCTATCCAAACCCCATTGGAAAAAGAAATAAGAAAACAAAACTTTTGTAATAAAAGTGTGTAGTCAAGCAAAAAAAATTCCCTCATTACCCCTGTTCAAAAAATAAATGTCTCTTTCTGTACCCTGAGTCCATAGGAGGTGGGTAGCACACTTCCATTTTTGGTCCTCTGGCATTGTGGTTGGTCATTGAACCATACATAGATTCTTCTCCATCTCCTTTTGCTCTCAATCTCTTATGTATTTTTTATATACTATATCACCATATATCTAAATATTTCTATCTGAGTATAATCATTCAAGTGATTGATTGTCATTTTGTTGGTAAGGGAATCTGTGATTCCTTGTTTGGGTATTTTTTTTCTTTTTGGTGAGGCAATCGGGGTTAAGTGACTTGCCCAGGGTCACACAGCTAGTAAGTGTCAAGTGAGAAATCTGTGATTCCTAACAAAGACCAGTCTATAATTTAATAGATAAATCTTAGGAATTTGTCTGAGGCTCAGAGTTATGGTGACTTGCCCATGGTCAAATAGCCAGTATGTGTTCAGGACAGGATTTCAGCCCAAGTCTTTCTGACTCCAAATATAGTATGCTATCCAATCTTCCATGTTGCATCTCTAAAATGTTTGTTGAACTGAGTGAAATTAAAATATATCCACTCTCTCTCCTTATAGAAAATCTCTCTCCTTATCTCTAAATATCTCAGTCTTGACCTCTACATTTGTAGAACTTTATCTATATAGTTACCCATCTTTACCTATATAGTTTCTTATCTTTACATATCTAGCTTCACATAGCTCTTTTTCTATTGAGGGTCACAAGACTGTAGAATACTAATAGAAGGCAGGGATCGCAGAGGTTATCCAGTCCAGAGGTATCAAACTCATGGCCCTCTTCAGTGTGGCCCCAAATAAACAAAAAGGTAATGGGAAATGTTTGACAAAATAAATAAAAATATAATACAACACAGACAGTGTGAATTCGCAGTTTTCTAAGTCAATATGTGGGGCTTGGATCCCTTTCTGTTTGAGTTTGACACCATTGCTAGTGTAACTCTCTTATTTTACCAATAAAATCTGGAAAGATTCAATGACTTACCTAAGGATACGCAGATAGTAAGTGTCAAAGTTGAGCCATTACTATTTTTATCTCTACTCAGATGTAACTTTACTCCATCCTCATTTTTCTTTCTCTACATATCTGTATGACATATTTTTGTTGTTCAGTTGTTTCAGCCATGTCTGACTCTTTGTGACCCTGTTTGAAGTTTTCTTGGCAAAGACACTGGCGTGGTTTGCCATTTCCTTCTTCAATATATTATATATATGTATATATGTGTGTGTGTGTATGTGTATGTGTGTGTACATATATGTGTATATATATACACACACAGACATACACACAGATAGATGGACAGATGGATATAGATATATGTATCTATAGTCAGAAAATGAAACCTGTTATATTCCATAGGTATATATACATATGCATGCATATGTGTGTGAGAGAGAATATAATTTAAGAGGAACTAGATCTTAGTTAATGTCATAAAACGATGAATTTAAAAGAATTATTTAGGTTCCAGACTCCTTAGAACAAAGAAAGCCCTTGGGGAAAGGCCTGGAGCCTATATAAAAAGAATGTAGCATACTAAGCATTCTAAAGAGAAAAAGAAAGTTGTTTTTCTCCTTTTGGAAATGTTTCACCCTAACTTCAACTCTTTAAGCCACCCACAATTATATGTTTCTATAATCTCATGTTAGAGAAGGAAGAATTCTCTGTTTCAAGATTTGGGATTGGTTTAAAAAAACTCACAACTATTTTCCTATGGAGGTCAATGAAATGGTATTAGAGATGCTTCTCCCCATTGTTCCTCTGAAGGTTACCTCTGCCTCCTCCATTCCTTCCTCATTATTTGTCCTTACTGAAGTTCCAAGAACCAGAAAATGGCAGAAGTTGCAATGTTCCTTAGTCCCTGAGATTTGTCTACTATTGGCTTCCATCACCTTACTCTCCAAGGACTCAGCACCTAGAATCGAACCCATATTTTCCCCCTAGTCATGGAAATTTAATGATTCACTTTGTGATGGGGCCATGTAGTCCTAGAAATAGCTTCTCATACCTTCCTCCTCTATTCCCCATCTCACACCACATGTGATGCCAAACACATGCTATAGGGGACACATGATATAGCAGACAGCTACAGTACCTCACCTCTAACCTCAGGTATTGGGGGGATGTAAACAGCTGATCTTGCATCTGAGTAGGCAAGGTGATTATAATAAATAGCTAACATTTGTACAACACTTTAGGGTTTGAAAAGTACTCTACAAATGTTATGGCACTTGATCCTTATAACAACCCTGTGTGGTAGGAATTATTATTATCCTCATTTTACAGACAAGGAAACTGGACAGGAAAAATGAAATGGTTTGCCAGAATCATACAAATACTAAATGTTTAAGGCAGGATTCAAACTCAGGTCTTCTTGGTTCCAAGTTCAGCCCTTTGTCCACCACAGTTTACTCAACTTACAAACACAGGGTCAGAAAACATGTTGGTAGTTATAGCTATAGTTCTGGTCCATCTGAGTACTAAGACAGTCTTTTTTTAATGGTATTTTATTTTTTCCAGTTGCATGTAAAAACAATTTTTAACATTCATTTAAAATTTTTTTGAGTTCCAAGTTTTCTCCCTCCTCTCTTCACTTTCCCCTCCCTAAGATGGTAAGCAATTTGATATTGGTTGTATATGTGCAATCATGTAAAACATATTTCCATATTAGTCATGTTGTAAAAGAAGAAATAGGCCAAAAGGAAAAAAACCCATGAAAACAATAAAGTGAAAATAATATGCTTTGGTCTGCATTCAGACTCTATCATAACTTTCTTTGGATATGGATAGCATTTTTCATCATGAGTCCTATGGAATTGTTAGACAGTCTTTTACCTCTATTTTCTCTCACAAAGATGACACATAGGTGATAGCAAATGTAATCCCCATGGAGTGGAGCATTTGCCAGGTCTGAAAAGGTGATGAGCTTTCTCCATGGGTGCTTTTTATATGCTAATGTGAATATGAAGGACTATATCACTAGTTCAAAGCCTAAGGACTTCTCCTTGGACATCCTATCTGCCATACATGGCCTACTCAGATCCAAGTAATATGCACAGGCCTGGATGTGGCCTACTGCACATGCCCAAGCAAGCATAGGCCATAGAGAATCAAGTGTGTCAATCAACTAACATTTATTAAACACCTACTATGTGCCAGGCACTGTGATAAGCCCTAAGAATACAAAGAAAGACAATAAAATAAAAGAATACAAAGAAAGACAATAAAATAAAAAAAGATAAAAAGCTCTCAAGGAGCTCACACTCAAATGGAAACATTGCTCTAATCTGAATTGTTTCTGGAATCTATTCTAGAATCAGTGATGAGTTATAGGATTGGAGTTAACACAACATCTAGCACACTAGCCTTGCACAGAGTAGGCACTCAGCCATTATTTGGGAGTTGGTTGATTACTAAAGTCTGTTAAATCCCATAAGAGAGAGAATGTGACTTCTGGAATTATACATGTTGTGTGTAGGGAGTGGAAGAACATGGGGAATGGGAAAACTTTGTAATCCCCAACCAGTTTGTAACCTTCTAGGACTCCCAGGAATGTAGGAAACTCATGTAAGGTGAAGAAGGATGAGGGAAACAATAGTGTCTTCCTATTCCAGAAGTCTCAGCACTGAGCTCAGACACACCCAGGTGTACACAGGGAGGGACCCAGCCAATGGAATGTCAGTCTTTGTCATCAGGACTTCAGTTGCCACCCTCGTGAGAGGAGCAAATGCCACAAAATTGTCTCATGGTCCAAGTCAGACTTTGCAACACTATAAATCAGCTCCCAGGACAGGGCTCCTCAGCCAGAGTGATCATAACACCATCAAGGAAGGTAAGTCTTTAGGACTGGACAAGGGGTTTGGGTTAAGGCTGGAGCGATAGATACAGGTGACAACGAGTCAGAGCAGAGAAACTGTTGGGAGCTGTGAGGATGGAGAAAGAAAGACGACCAAGAAGAGTACCTGTTGGGGGTTGGGGAGAAGAAGGCAGTGCAGAAGAGCATAGTGGAAGGTGTGCATATGTGTGGAAGGACCTGTGATCTGTGTGTGAAACCCAGGAGGTCTTGGTCAAAGCAGTGATGGATTGATTTAATTTATATTGGAGAATAAATAGTCCCTCCACTAAAATCTTCCACTGAGGTTTCATCCTGGTGGTAGAGGTAACCCTGGATTATAATAGGCTGTGTCGGGTGAGAATAAGACAGGGATGCTATCAGATTAGGACAGCTGTAAGCAAGCTGCTTTGTGACAGATTGTCTCTTGTCTGAGAAGTGGGTGTGTTAAGTTTGGAGAGACTCATTACCAGACTGGGCCGTGGGATGATAGCCATTGACTACAATGGCTATTGAAGATTATCTACCTAATGGTAGAGGGGTTGCTCACTGCCTGAATGGAAGATACATCTGTACTTATGAAATCATAGGTCTTCTTGGAGTATTGAGGTGAATTGACCAGTGTGCCATTTCTCTCTGAGAGAGTGACATTTTTTCCAGGAAGGACTTGGTGCCCTGGCAAAAGAGTTTCAGAAATCAGAGAAAAGGTGGGAGGAGGATTTGGCAGGTCAATAAGCAAAGGTTTTTCCAGAGTCTCTAAAATACACGATTGCCTTTTCTGCCTCTGTGTGACTTTTTTTATTTGTTTGTTTTTGTGAGACGGTTTGAGGTAGGCTAGGCTAGGGTAGGCCAGAGAGGTCTACATGGATTTAGACCTGGGATGTTTGCCTGCGTAGAAGTGTATCCATTATATTTATAAGGCCAAGGAGAAATTTAATAATGGGTATGTGTCTGGCTTATACATCAGGGCCCTGTCCATGCTTGTTTTTTATTGTCTTGCTTCATCCCATGGGAGGGTCTAAGGCAAAAAAAAAAAAAAGAACTAAGGTCAGCAACCTTTCTTTCTATCTTGGTACAAACTGGTGATTACTGGAAGTAATAGGCAAGGAAAGGGTTATTGCCCAAGCTGGTGTACTTGGAGGATTATTCAGCTTGAGCTGGAAGGGATCTTAGAGATCATCTCAACCCTCTCCATTTTATAGACGCTGAAGACAAGACCTAGAGGTGAACTGATTTGCCCAGGGTCACACAAGTACTAAAAGGAAGAGCCAGGATTTGAACTCAGCTCCTCTGACTCCATTTCCACATTTGAATTAAATTAAAATTTTCTCTGACAAATAAGAAGGTTTGTTTAAAAACAAATCCACCACAATACAAATATTTTGCTTGGGTGGTGACCAGCTATTGCGTGTATGGTGCCAAATAACTCTGACCAATTCTCCACTTCTCAGCTGGTGACTTCGGCAGCACGTCAATCCAGTTCGTATGTGTGTGCATGCCTCTGTGTGTGACTTCATCTCCTCATTATTCGCTTGGATGGAGGTGAATCATTCCACAGACGACACAAATTCCAGAGTGCTCCAGTTTGGGCCAGTCCCAAAGTGTTGTGTACAATGGCCAATAACTAAAAAAAAAAAATCCTTTTTAAATTGACTTCTGAAAACACATTCACAGTGTGAGAGGCACATGTGCAGCTCAGTGAATGACATTTGGCCTTAGGTCCCTTTAAGTAGCAGTGTTGTGAGAGGATGAGTGTCTGTGTGGATTGATCTATGTTCCTGTCTCCAACCAGCCCCCAGGGGCTGTAGTGTGGTGACCAGGGCACCAGGTCTGGATCCAGACAACTGGTGTTCAAATTTCTGCCTTGCTCTTTGGTAGCCCAACAATCCATATGAGCCATCACTTAACTTCTCTGGCCCTTAGTTTCACCATTTGTAAGAGGCAGGGTTTCAACCCTCAAGTCCCTTCCTGCTCTGAATTTTCTCTCTGATTCTGGGATTCCTTCTCCTCCCCCAACCTTCCAAACTAACCTCTGCTCTCTCTGCCCACAGAGCCCTATCATCTGCAGTCAGAATCATGTGTGACCAGCAGAAGCAGCCCTGCCTGCCACCCCCAGAGTGTTGCGTGAAAGGGTCTTCTTTTTCCCCCTCCCCATCCTTTGCCCCCATAAAAGGCCAGGCCTCGGGTGAAGTACAAACTTTTCAGACTTGCTCTGCAAAGGGTCAAGTTGTAAGCCAATCTCAAACTTCATCTACAAAAGGCCAGGCCCTGTGCCAGTCTAATATATGTTCAGGAAAGGGTCAAGCCCCAAGTCAGTCCCAGGTATGCTATATCCAGTGCCAGGCCCCATGCCAGGCCCAGGAATCCTATGTAGAATACCAAGTTGCACATCCTGTTCAGACCTCCTACATACAATGCTCTCCAGTTTGCTCTACCGAGACTTACTATGTGCAGTGCCCAGCTCCATGCCCTGTTGAGACCTATGTGCCAGTCACAGCTCCTCAGCCAGTTCACACTTATGTAGAATACTACCCTCAATGCCAGGCTCAGAGGTATTATAGCAGCAGTGTGCCTCAGCACCAGTCTCAGGGGTACTATAGCAGCTGTACCTCTCAACGCCAGTCTCAGTACTATGGTGGTGGTGCCCTTCAGAGCCAATACCAAGGTTCTTACAGCGGCTGTTCTCCTCAAAGTCAGTATCAGCAATCCTACGATAGATGTCTACCTGCACGCCCCTCTCAGCGTTGTTATCGTAGCTGTTCTCCTCCACGCCGACCTCAGCCTTCCTATGTCAGCTGCACCCTTCCGTGCACGACTCGGCCGGCCTATCGGAGCTGCTCCCCTCCACGCAGATCTCAGACTTCTTATACTTACTGTACTCCTCCACGTACAGCTCGGCCGGCATATCGGAGCTGCTTTCCTCCGTGTAGCCCTCCACGCACGTCTCGGCCCACCTATCAGAGCTGCTCCCCTCCACGCAGATCTCAGCCTACTTATACTTACTGTACTCCTCCACGTACAGCTCGGCCTGCCTATCGGAGCTGCTCCCCTCCTCGCAGATCTCAGCCTACTTATACTTACTGTACTCCTCCACGCCAATCTCAGCCTTGCTATAGTAGCGGCTCTCCAAGGCGTCCAGCTTCAGGGTCTTCTCAGAGATGTGGTCCCAAACACCGGGTAGAAATTTGCTCTCCCAACTGTCCTGCTCAGGTCCCCCCAAGGAGGCAGCCTGTTCAGATTCCCCCCATCAGAAGCACTTGCCAGGGCTCTAGCACACAATATTCTTGTAGCGCTCCCTGCCCACAGCCATTTCCAGAGTCACGTCCACTCCAAGATTCATGTTCACCCCCAGAACGACGGCTGAGACCATGCCCACTCCCAGCTCCACGCTCTTGCTGGCAACCGCGCCCTGAACCATGTTCTGCACCCCAGCCTGAGCCGTGTCCTGCACCACGGCCCTGTTTAGAGCCCTATCCAGAGCCTTGCCCTCATCCAGAGCCACCACATGTGGAACCACGTGGCCCTCGCAGTCCTTGCAACTGCCCCAAACCATGCCCCTGCCCACCTTCTTGTCCTTGTTCTCCTGGCTGCCATGAATCTGAGCCTCATCACCTAGATATTGAACCACCACCCTGTGGCCCTGCTGGATACAATGAGGAAGAGGCCTTTGGTTCTGTAGGATGCTCAGAGCCACGAGATGTGGGTGGCTGTGGTACCAAAGGTGGGGTGAAAGGTTGCTATTTCTAATAAGCCTAAAAAGAGAGTATATTCCTGTTTTGACTCTGTAGTCAAATACATTTCTGTTTGAAGCCCTCCTGCTCAAAAATTTTCAATGACTCTCAGCAGCTTACAGAATAAATTCTAAGTTTTCTTATTTGATATTCAAGGTCCTTCACCATACAGTCATAACCTGTCTGTATGTCTCTCACCTTTCCTCTCTCCTCTCTTTCCTTCTCTCTTTCCCCCCCTTCCCTCCCCCCTCTTCTCTCTCTCCCTCTCCCTCTCTCTCGAACTGCCCCCCGTCCCTGTCTCCCTCCTCCTCTCTCTCCTCCTCTCTCCCCCTCTCCCCTCTCTCTCCCACTCCACCCTCTCCTTTCTCTCTCTCTCCCTCCTTTTTTCTTCTCTCTATCTCTGTCTCCCTCCTCCTCTCTCTCCATTCCTCCCTCTCTCTGTCTCTGTCTCTCTCTCCCCTTTCCCCCCTCCCTTTTTCTCTCCCTCTCCCCCCGCCTCCCTCCAGGCTTATCTCTAGCTAACTATCAAACACATTTTGCATTTTCTCACCTTCACAATACCTGCTCAACCCCATTCCGTTCTGGTCCAGTGAAGCCCTACCTGTGCCTTCAAGGAGTGGTTCAAGATCCCTCCCCCATAAACAAAATTCCAGCTTATTTTGATAGCTCTGCTCTAAATACCCAGTACCTGGTCCCTATACTGCTGCTTGTGGGTAAGATATTCCCTGCCCTGAGACATCATTTGGAATTTTCCTTTTTCTGGGATTTATATCCAATCTCCCCCAAAAGTTCAGAAAACCATAAGATCAGGAGTTGTGTCTTAGCCTTCTTTGTAACTTTTCAGAGCACCATGTCTTGAAAGTAGTAAGTGACTAATTATTATTTGTTGATTGACTGATCCATCCAAGCTCTCCCTGGCTCCTTATCACTCTTATATCTCGCTGGTGGGTAACTCCTTGGTTCTCCCTCTGCTTGCCCTCTCCTCACTGAATTCTGTCCTAAACCACTAAGAGATGGGATTGACAGCAAACTTGCAATAATAAAGGTGAGAGGTTAAAGACAAGCATAGTCTGTTTCTTTCTTTCTTTAATCCTGAGCCACTCTGTGGTTTCAACAAATGAACTTTAAGAGCAAAAGAATTTTTTTTTCTTTTCAAAAGGATAATTAGGGATCTTTTAGAGTCTATTTGTTCCTGTTCATGTTTGCTACAAGCTTCCTCTCTACATGGTGGTCTGTGGCATGGTGATGCTGTGGCCAGGATTGGTCCCCAGAGATTCCACATCCTCACCCTCTGTGCTCAATCAATTCCTGGTAATGGGTGAAATACGTACCTTGGGGAGAGAATACTTCCCTCAGGAAACAGTGGGGTAGAGTGTGCCCAAGCATCAGAGGGTTAGGGAGTGTCTTGTACTCTTTCTTTGAGGGTATGGCCACAGGAAACCATGTTCAAAAGTCAGATCTTCATTCCAAAGCTAAAATAGGGCTAACTAAGGGGTCTTAGTACGTAGCATATTCCAGATAGAAGGGACCTTAGAATATAGAATGTTAGTACCTAGAAATCACAGAAACAGAGAGATCATCTTAACCTTTTTTTTTTTTTAGAGGTTAAGGACCCACTTCTCAAAATGTTTTTAAATGTATAAAATAAAATATATAGGATTAGGAAGAAAACTAGTTATATGGAAATATAGTTATCAAAATATTTTTAAAATAACAAATTGGTAGACCTGCTGAAATCTATCCACAGACCTCTGGAGGGTCCATGGACTTCAGATTAAGAATCCCTGATATAGTCCAACCTTTTTAAAGTGAGAATATCCATGCTCAGAAAGGGACAATGACTTGTCCAAGGCCCAACTAACTAGTGGCAGAACTCATAGAATCTTGGTGTTATTCCAGTGTGTCATCGTCATCATCATTGTCATTGTCATCGTCATCTTCTTCTTCTTCTTCTTCTTCTTCTTCTCAGGGTTAAGTGACTTGCCAGGGTCACACAGTTAGTAAGTGTCTGAGGCTGGATTTTTTTTCTCTATGAAACCATGAAACCACACATTTCTTTATTGTTTTACAGTTTATAAAATGCTTTCACATGAATTATTTCATTTGATTCTTATGTAACAGCCAAAGCAGGTGTTATTCCTGTGGTTTTTTTTTTATTACCTGGGGTTATTTTATAAGATATTTATTTTTTTAATTTATGGAATAAGACAAGCATTTCCATAACATAGTACAATAAAAAAGATGATTGCATATGAAACCACAGATCCACTATATACAACTTGCGATGCCTCTTAAATATACAATTCCTTTTAAATGCATATTCCTTTTAAATACACAACAAAGTTATCATGTAAATTTCCTTTTCCCCTTTTTTCCCCTTCCCTCACCACCTCTAAAGATGACTGCCATTAGACATAAATAGGCATATATATATACACATACAAATGTATATATATGTAAAATTATCCTATACATACTTCTAGTTATCTAAGGCTGGATTTGAACTCAGGTCCTCCTGATTATAGGGCCAGTGCTTTATCTACTGCACCACCTAGCTGCCCCTAAGTGTATGCCCCAGTGCATATTCTAATACACCTCAACACCTTTTAGTTTTGTGTTTGGCCCTTACCTCTTTCTCCTGTCTAAGGCTAACCTCTCTTCCTATGCCCTTGACCCCAATCTTGCCCTCCTCTTCTAAGACCTTAGTTCTTCAATTACCTTTTCTTTCTCTAAAATCTTTCTCTGCAAACATGGTCATGTCTCCTCAGGCTAAAGGTGGAAAAATAATTTTTCCCTGCCATCCACTCAATCTACTCTTTCCTTGTACTTCAAAATTTCTCATACTTGTTTCCTCTACTTCCTTGCTAAACATTTGTTCTTCAAGCCCCTGTGATCTGGCTTCAGAAGCTACTACTAGGTTGAAATTCTCCTCTGGTCTCTATGACATCATGATCCCCTGACTTCTTCCTACTTGAGGGAGTGTCTCATTCCCTAGTTTTCTATCTCTGCAATGTTTCTTGCATCTCTTATCTCCCTTTCTTGCCCTCTACCATCGCCTAACTTAAGACCTAGGATATGACAATAGAATCCTAATTGACCTCCGCACCTCATCTCTCCTCTCATTGGTCCTTCCTAAAGTGACTGTCATATGAATTTTCTTTATGCCCAGTTCTGATTATGTGACTCCCCCACTCATGGTACAATCCCTTCATTGGCTCCTCATTGCCTGCCAAATAAAATCCAAATATGGCTTTGCGAACCCATGGACCATAGCATGCCAATACTGTCCATGAAGCTTTCTTCACAAAGATACTGGAGTGGTTTGCCATTTCCTTCTCCAGTAGATTCAGGCAAACAGAGGTTAAATGATTTGCCCATGATCACACAGCTAGTGAGTGTCTAAGGCAGGATTTGAACTCAGATCTTCCTGACTCCAGTGCTCTATCCATTGAGCTATCTAGCTGCCTCACTTATTTTCTACTTCCACTAAATAGGCTTAGTCAGTGGGCAGCTAGGTGGCGCAGTGGATAGAGCACCAGCCTTGAAGTCAGGAGGACCTCAGTTCAAATTCGGCCTCAGACCAAACACTTGACACTTAGTAGCTGTGTGACCCTGGGCAAGTCACTTAACCCTAATTGCCTATGAATGAATGAATAAATAAATAAATAGGCTTAGGCGCTGTTCTCCAAACATACTCTGTGTTTTCCTCTCTCTTTTTGTTTGCTCATGCTGTCTATTCCATCTGAAATTCATTTTTTCCCCAAATTTTATTCAATATGAAACATATCTCTACAGTTTTTATTGAGGAGGTGGACCACGTCCACGACCAAATCCATCTCTAAATTGGAATTCTGTTGCTGACCCAGCCCCAGCCTCGGCCTTCTTGTCAGCACCAGGGAGAGCAGCACTTCGTCTGTATGTGTCTCTGTCAGCTTCACGTCGAGTAAGCCTGGCAGGTCGCTCACCCTCCAGACCTTTGGGCCTTGGCCTTCCTGTCTCGGGATGACTTCTGCGGAGAGTGGCAGGCATGATCTCAGGGGGCAGGTGAAGGTAATCCTGGAGGTACTGAATGCCCTCACTGGTGAGGTACTAACAGGAATGCCTCCATGCAAACTGCTCCTTAACATAGCCATGAGACTTTAGAGACTGCATGGCCTTCATGACATGGAGATTGGGCACATTCTTGTCTGCCAGCTCAGGGTGCTTTGGCATGTGGACATCCTTCTTGGCTACCATTTCTCCCTCCTTAAAAAGGAGTTCATAGATGGCAATTCGGTTCTTCTTGGGCATCAACATCTCGGTGGCTGCAACTGAAATTCATTTTTCTGTTTCTTCATGGGTCAAAAAGTTTCAAGGCTCAGCTCAAATATGATATCCTCCATGAAGCCTTCCCTAATCCTCTCAGTCAGATGTGATCACTCACTCTTCTAAACCCCAACATATTTTATTTGTACCTCTGTTGTGACACTTTTCATATCCTTTCTTCTCCTATATTTACTTCTACTCATCTTATTCTCATTAAAATATTGTAAGTAAGAACCTTGAGGACAATTAGGTAACAAGCAGTAAGTCAATCGGCATTTATTAAATTCTCTGAAGATACAAAGAAAGGCAAAAAAAGATACAAAGAAAGCTCTACTCTCAAGGAGCTCACATTCTAATGGGAAGAAAAATGTGCAAATAACTATGTACATACTATTCACACACACCTGCACCCATATATAACATAATGTAAAATTAATATAAATATAAGGGTACTAGCAGCTGAGGAGACCAGGAAAGTTCTCCTGCAGAAGGTGGAATTTGAACTGAGTCTTGAAGGAGCCAGGGAAACCAGAAAGAAGAGATGAGGAGAAAGAGCATTTTAGTCATGAGACCTTGAGTGAAATGGCATTCAGCTGGGAGATGGTGTGTGAAATCATTCTGTTGGGTTTGGGGAGCCCAGACTATTACCTGTTCTATCCTAGCTAGCTCAGAGTCCTCCCAAGGAAGAGAACCAATGCAGGGGACTAGATAGGTGGGCAGGTGGGAACATAGTATTTTTTAAATTAAAATTTTTTTTAATTAACAGAAACTTATTTCCTTTCCTTCCCACTCCCCATCCTAAAAGGAAAAAGAGGAAAAAAAGAGAAATATTTTGAAATAAATATCCATAGTCAAGCACAACAAATTATTTTATTTGCTGTACTCAAAAAAATATGTCTCACCCTGGACCCTGAATCCATCACCTCTCTGTAAGTAGGTGCAAAGCATGCGTCATAATTGGTC